ATATATATATATATATATATATATGTATGTTTTGTATTGTTTCTCTTTAGTTTCTTCCAAATTGAAATGGATAGATGATTGAAAATTATTGTCATTGTGTAGAAAGACATAAAATGCTTTTGGAGCTATATGTCTCCTTATTTTATTTTTGGTGTTTAATTATTATACTCTCAAAACCATGTTGACAAGGTATTATTCTCTATGATACTTAACACGAAGAGCTATTTGGTTTTACTATATATTGTCAACTTCACATATCATCTTTGCTGATATTTCAGTTTCTCTGTTTTTGTTATGTGTTATTGTCTTCTAATTTCATATCTGCTATTCTAACTTCCACTACAGACCGCCTTCACTACAAAGAACCTTTTCAGTGAAAAAAACAGTCATAGGGAACTCCCAGAGACTGCAGAGGAGGCTAAACACCGAGCTGAGGTTATTAGGTAAGTGAACTGTGTTACAGATAAAAATTATCACAACGTGCATTGAAACCAAAGAAGAAAAACTCGTGAATGCATCATTTTCATTTCTAATGGAATCTTTAGGTATCTGACTTGAGAATGGGAATGTATTTTCTTATAACTTTAACTGGAAGATCTTAGCTTTTTAGGTCTCAAGGAATATGTGTGGTTACTTACACAAGGTGATTTTTGCAGGCTGAGGGAGCTTACACTTAAGGGCCATGTTGAATCAGTTGTTAAGCTGAAGGGACTTGACATTGATGCGGCAGCCTTTGATGCATCCACAATGGAGAATTTTCTGCAAGAGTGGGACAAGGAGAAGCCAGGGAGATACACTGCTCAGCAGTTGGATGACTTTACAAGCAATTACTCAAAAAGGCTGGGGTCTGGAGCATATGGGGATGTTTATGAAGGGCAGTTTCCAAATGGAGTCAAGATTGCAGTGAAGTTGCTCAAGGAAAAGTATGAGGGAGCAACAAAAAAACAGTTCATGGCAGAGGTAGGCACAATTGGAAGAACAAACCATATTAACTTGGTTAGACTTTATGGTTTTTGCTATGATAGAAATATAAGTGCGCTTGTATATGAATTCATGGAAAATGGATCGCTTGATAATTATTTGTTTGCAAAGGAGGAGATGATTGAGTGGGAAAAATTACATGTAATAGCGGTGGGGATAGCTAAAGGAATTGCTTATTTGCATGAAGACTGTCAACAGAGAATTATTCACTATGATATAAAGCCAGCCAATATTCTACTTGATGCAAACTTCCTCCCTAAAGTTGCAGATTTTGGGCTTGCAAAGCTCTGCAACAGGGACAGTACTCATGATTCAGTTACTGGATTCAAGGGAACCCTTGGTTACTGTGCCCCAGAGTTTTTTCTGAGAAATCATCCCATAACTTACAAATGTGATGTGTATAGTTTTGGAATGTTGTTGTTTGAGATAGTTGGGAAGAGGAAAAACAAGGTTAGCAGCTCCTCTGAAAGCCTTGATTGGTTTCCGAAGGTTGTGTTGGATAAGTACCAGAAGGGTGAATTGGTTGAGCTAATAAAAAGTTATGGGATTAAAAATAAGGATATGGAAAAGGCAGAGAGAATGTCAGTAGTGGCACTGTGGTGTGTTCAAGACTTGCCAGGAGCTAGGCCACCAATGAGTGCCGTAGTGAAGATGTTGGAAGGAGGAGTGGAGATCATGCCACCTCCTAAACCCACTCATTTACTGTTCTCATCGTTGGGGACAAGTGCAGTCAAGCCACCAAATGTTGACACTGGTTCAAGTTCCTTCTCGAGTGAAGAATCCACTTCTTATTGGTATAAAGAGACCACTTCAATCATGGCCAAGTATGAAATACAAGTGGCCAGTAGTTAACAAGACTAAAATGTTGTTTCATACTTTGGTTGGCATATCCACCCCTGAACTTGCAAATAGCAGCAAATCTCCTCCAAAGTGATAGAAATTGTTATTCTATATTGGTCAATGTATGGTTTATTTGATGTGGTATGATAGGCTCACTAAGGTTTGTCAACAATGTCTATCAACCTAAATATTATGTTATATTTATTTTTAGTAAATTTAATTTGATTTTTTTTATTTTTAAAATATAAATTTTAAATAAAAATTTAACAATTTATATG